ATTACATGTTTGAGGCCTTTGGAGGCTAAGTCTCGTGCGACTTCGGCCACCTTGGGTAGGAGGTCTATCGTCTTGCCGGCATAGCACACCTCAGTTTCGGCGAAGACGAACTTGGGTTGGATTTGCCTGTATCGGTCTAGGATGCCCTGATCGTGGATATGAGTAATTACACGGATTCTGAGACCTTTAGCAAAAAGAAGGGAGGGTACCGACCTGAGTGCCCATGTCAGTCGCGGTCGAGCTATAAACTCCGCCAGCACTGATTGCAGCTAAGCACACCACGACAGCGTGAATGGAGTTGGTCGCGATAGCTGAGTAGTGAAACATATCAGACAAAACATCCATCTCTTTGGCAAAGTTTCAGTGTGTCACCTGCAACTCTATCCCCCACCTCCAGTCCGTTTACTTTCAGCGCCGTGGCAACATCTTTCACCATGTCTCTCAATTGCCGGAAGGTGTAATGGGCCACGCTTCCCGTCTCTCTGCTGCAAGTGACTGCAATTGCATCATCATTTCGGTAGAGGAGATTCTCAGCATAATTCAACCGTGCTCCGGGAAACCAAGTGGGGACTTCTTTCATGCGCCCCTCCACGACAATCTGGGGAAATTGTCGCATTGGGAGACATCGTAATGCAGTTAAAGTGAAGTGACCTTTTGCGGTGGCACAGAGTATATGATTCCGAGAAACTCCCAGAGGTCTTGCCAAAACGTGTAATCTTCAACAGAGTACTTGTGGAGATCGTGGAAATCCTCTACAGTCAGAGGTTCAGAGAGACGAGGCCCGAGCTCTGAAACCATTCAGCTCACTCAGGTGCAGACCATGTTTCCAGTTGATTGTTCGACGCAAAGCATCGACACGAGTTGCATTGGGATTGGCAGGTCGCCATATCAGACGAGAATGAGCAAAGTGGTTTTCTGTCATGATTCCACAGGCGGGAGGGTGCTAGACGAGAGGCTGCGAAAGGTGGCAGAGAGAAACAGAGTACAGCTAGATTCCCACTCAACGTTGATAAGTACCTGTACAAGAAGATGTCGGGCTTCCTGATTCCCCTCCCCCAAAGGCTCGACGGCTAATCTTGCCGGCATTCCGGGTGTCAGATGATAGCCCTATAAAAGTGGCGTTGGTCAGAAGAATCACAGGCGCGTCAGACGGCTGTCGTCGACGTGTCCGCTGCAAACAACGGACTTCGCACAATGCAGAGGTTGCGTGGATGGCGGGCGGGACAATGATGAAAATGAAAATGGAGCTCCAGATTGTTGGCGGTCACGGTGGCCATCACAAAATGTATGCGTGGGAACATCTTCCAATACATAGTCCTCTGGATTCCGAACGGTGACCACCACATTTCGCTCCAAGCCAGCCCCAGTCCACCTGGTCGGTTTCCTGCTCCCTGCCACGTTCATCCTCCGTTAAAACGATACATTGCCACCATGGCTACTGCCAGCACACTTTCTCCTAACAATATCCTACCAACCGACGTGTCCAAGACGGCCAGCACGTCACCGAATTCAGACCAAATATCTGCCACTATGCCTAGGATGAATGGCCGTGCCATCAATGGGACGTCGAAGCCGAACACACCAGTCACGTATGACAGGATGCAGATTGTCAACGACGAGAAGGAATTCACGTTCGTCTGTCACGAGTGTTTCTGGGGGGTGTTAACTGAAGCACTGGTTCTCTAGACCGGAACTAATAGGGCAAATAGGCCGCTGGGGCCTTCGAGACGCTGGGTTTGATTATAATATCGTCGCTGTCTTTGGTTCTCAGTCCACAGGAAAGAGTGGGTCTTCATCCCGTTGAACCCCAACGGAAATGTGATTTGACCACTCACCTAGGTACCCTGCTAAACAGATTGTTTGGCACTAGCTTTGATGTCATGGACGAGACTCAGCGACGACAGACGACCAAAGGTGAGAGTTTTACTCTCCCGTTGGCAAATTCAAGCTGAGGAGGTGTTTGGCTTGTCTTTGCACAGGTATTTGGATGTGTAGAGGCAAGGATATGAACGTCCTGGTAATGGATGTGGAAGGTACTGATGGGCGAGAACGAGGAGAAGATCAGGTTCGCAGACATGTCTATTGTTGTGACCGACAACTCATCCATCCAACAACCAGGACTTCGAACGCAAATCTGCTTTATTCTCCCTTGCTTCGTCGGAGGTCCTGATTATCAACCTATGGGAACATCAGGTCGGCCTATACCAAGGTGCCAACATGGGTCTCCTCAAGACTGTCTTCGAGGTGAACTTGAGCCTGTTCGGGAAGAAGTCCGCAGAAGCGTACGCATACAGTCTTCAATTGAAATCTTTCTACCCTTTTAATTCATCTTTCTACCTTTAGGACTAGCCAACGTACTCTCCTCCTCTTCGTCATCCGAGACTTTATCGGAACAACTCCTCTCGTCAATCTCCAAGCAACGCTCACTGCCGACCTTACCAAAATCTGGGACAGCTTGTCGAAGCCGAAGGAACTTCAAGGCTGCAAACTCTCCGATTACTTTGACTTGGCATTCACTGGGCTTCCCCATAAAGTCTGGGCTGCCGACAAATTCGAAAGTGACGTCCAGGTGTTGAGGAAGCGATTCGTTCAGAAAGACAGTTCGGATTACTTCTTCAAACCTGCCTACCACAAGAGGATACCTGCCGATGGTGTCGCGTTCTACATGGAGGGTATCTGGGTTAGTGTTGTGCCTGAAGTAGTCTTCATGATCCTGACGCGTTGTTGTGAATAGGAACAAGTCCAAAATAACAAAGACTTGGATCTACCTACTCAACAGGAATTGCTGGCTCAGTTCCGTTGCGACGAGATTTCGACTGCTGCTTTGGCCGAGTTCAGCGAACAGGCCAAGTCTCAGAAGAGACCTGTTGAGGCTGGCCGTGTCGTTGAAGGCCTTGGCCAAATGATGCGAACCTGGCGTTCAGACACCTTAGGTGAGTCTGGCACAGCTGATTGTCATGAGTCATGGTTACTCAGTCAGCTTCATGGTAGCTCGTTACGACCGCGATGCGTCCCGATACCACCAAGGAGTCTACAAGCGCAAACGTACCGACCTCCTCGCCGTGGTTGACTCCACACTTCAACCCCTGTTCCTCGGACAACTTAAGAATCTCCACAAAGCCTGTCTAGTTGCTTTCAAGCGAGATGTGGTGGAGGGTATGAAGGCCGGGGAATACGATTTTGCGGAGTTGGTGGGCAAGGCAAGAGCGACTTGTGAAAAGAATTTTGTTGAAGGGGGAAAGGAGGTGTTGGTGGAAGGCACAACGTGGAGTTGGGAAGAGGAGTTTGAGTTATTGAAGGAGGAGGTTCAGCTTGTTGCCGATCAGTCGCGGAAGGATGAGACGAAGAAGATGGTCAACCTTATCGAGGTGCGTTCGCGGAGTGTCTGAGTTTCTTGTATGGTCGTTGATCTGTCAAACCTTGTGTAGCGGAACTTCAAGAAGCAGATCGCGGAACCAGTGGAACTTGCTCTCAACACCGCAACATTTGATATGTGGGACAAGGTTTTGCGTGCCTTCCGGGAGACTTTGGACAAGGCAGAATCGACATATCTGGCTAAGGCAAAGAGTACGTTGGGACCTTCTTCCCCCATGTTGTGTTCACCCTTGTTGAATATCCTATCCATTAACATCAGGCTTTAACTGCACTGAGGAAGAGAACGCTCATGCGCTGGCCACCCTTCGACAACGTGCTTGGCTTGCGCTACGCGCCAAGATCGATGAGGGAACGGCCGACACTGCTATCTTGGCCAAACTGCGAACACATTTCGAGGAGAGATTCAGGTATGATGAGCATGGTGTTCCGCGGGTTTGGAAACCAGAGGATGATATGGATGGCGCTTTCAAGAAGGCGAAGGATCAGGTGGGCTTAGCCAAATATTGTTCAAATGTTGGATCATCCACTCACGTTCTCCGATCATTCAGACCCTCGAACTCGTCCCTCTTTATTCAAAAATCTCGCCCAAGGATACCTCACTAGAATATACCTTACCATCCGAACCCTCCGACTCATTAACTAATTCCGACGAGTTCGACTTCCCATCAACTCTCATAATCTTTTCCGAAACCAAATCCCTGGATCTCATCAACCGATTCCGTCGCGATGCAGATGCCTACTACGTCGAGGCCAAGCGGAGTACAGTCTCGAGTATCGCGCAGATTCCTTATTGGATGTATGGAGTGCTTGTCGTGTTGGGTTGGAACGAAGCCATGATTGTTTTGTTCAACCCACTTTACTTTGTTGCATTACTGTTAGCTTTGGCGACTGCGTAAGTGTTGGAGTTTACGTTTGTGGTCTTGACTGATCGCATTCGACTCTAGGTACACGGTGCTCAAGTTACATCTGGTTGGTCCGCTGATGCAGATAACGAAGACAATTGGAGGCGAGGTACGTTTGATCCAGGTTTTTCGCAAATCAATAGTTGACCCTCCGACAGGTCCAGCGTCAGGCCACTGACCGTCTACGAGAACACTTTGCTCAGCCCACGCTCGCCGAGCCAGTACGAACACGGCCCTTGGAAGACGCGTTGGAAGACGATGAAATGCGGCACGAGGTTCGCAGGAGGAGGGTACAGCCTTTGTGAACCCGTTTCTCGTTCGGTGTGACGCCCAAGGACATTGGATCTTGACCTTGGGTTTATTCCATTGTTTTTGTAATTATTTCATGCTTTTGGATTCACCTCTCGCGTACCCCTGGCGGGTGTAGGCTCAAGGCAGCACTTGCGCAAGCGGATACCCCCCCTGCCTGTCAGTTCTTTTGGCAGGCCCTCATATCCATCGGTGCCCTTCCATACCGCACGCTGCGAGCACGAAGAGCTTCGCCCTATCTTCAGATCAGGCTCGAGTCCCGTAGCAAGTTTTTGGTCCCACCCAGTTCCATTTCACCTAGCCACGTCACCAGTATACATTCCATTGTTGTTTACGTTGGAGGCAGCGCTGCGTCTGTCTTGTTTCAACTGTCTGAGGTAAAAGACAACTAGGATACTGTAAACGTGCAAAATGTGAGCCGACCCAGGTTCGAACTGAGGACCGCCTGTGCACATCACGGAATTCGTAACGTGTTAGACAGGCGTGATAACCAACTACACCATCGGCCCTTAAGAACAGGAGAATCCATAGTTATCTGATCCCTAACTCCAGTGCTATGCAGCATAGATTCAAGGCACAGAAGTTAGAGACAGTGGTGCCTTGTGCGCTTATGAGTCGACCACCAGTCCCTTCTCAAAAAGGACGATACCGTCGGTCTGCCTCAGGAGACTACTTGGGCTGTGCCGAGTGAAATGAAACTCAAAACGTTGGACCCCATCTCGAAATTTAGGCGAAGCAGACATCCACATGCAGCGCATTCCTCATAGGTCTGATGTTCATGCGGCATCAACCAGACAAGGGGGAGGGCGAGAGGGCGGATGCTGGTAATCAACCGGTAATGAAATGGGGAGTCCAGTAGACGCATCAAGATGTCGAAGCGAACCGTCGGGCGCGGATGCTGTACTCATGATGGCTTCACCGAAAATGAAGGAAAGATCTTGGCCCCATGGTGGGAGGCTTTGGGCATGCGGCACCCACGAACTTTTGCCTCGCATAGCGCTAGTGGTGTCCGGAGCGCTCAGTAGCGAAGATAAGGGGGTTCCGAGGGGATGAAAGCCTTCAATGACGCATCTGGGGCCATAATGAATGAATCATGGTGCCGTTCGAAGATATGCGCAATCCAATTGATTCGATGGAAGTGGGTCTTGAGGTTGATGATAGAGGGGAACGTCTGTTCAAAGAGGCAGAGACACTAATCCAATAGTGTCAGCAAATACGAATATACAGCTTCATAGTGAATCCCGCTTGACTAAGTCGATGGCGCTCTCGGTCCCGGCTATCCTCTCCAGTCTGAACCAGTCATACTTTGAATACAAGAGGCGGCAAGTAACGTCGGAGGGGTCGACATCTTCGTCCAGGAATGGGTAAGATAAGAATTCGGTGTAGAATTGAGGATGATCCGGAGGGCCGTAGAAGATGACGTTTCGAATGCCTCGAATTTTATATCTAGGGGAACATAGCATGGTCAGATGAATATCAAGACGGGATAGAAGAGAGACAACCTTCTGAAGAAGTGGAAACGTTCGCTGACAAGGAGGAATGGTTTCTGTCCCGCGAAGAAGGCTTGCCTGGCCCGCGATATCTCTTGGTTGGATGAATATCTAGGAACCAGGATGAGTTACTTCGATCGAAGAAGACGCGATGGGGCCACAGACTCTGATAGGACGGTGAACGATACATCTTCCCGTTTTCTTAGGTAATTTTGTACTCGAATAAAGTCGAACGAGGATGGGATGAAAATTACTGTATTGACGCTCTGTACAGCGGACTTCAGGACAGAGGGGAGTAGCTAGAGGGAGCACAGTCAGAGGTGGTGCGAACAGATCGAAGAGTCGATGGATACCTGTGTGGTGAAGTGATGGAAACGTTTATCGGGTTCGTCCTTGGGACTAGAGCAATTGAACTGAACAAAGTCCTGCCATAACCTGATCAGGATGCCTTCTCCGGTAGAAGGATAATGTGCCTACCTGATGAATACCCTCAGGAACTACAATTGGAAGCCATCGTCTCTCCGATCGAAGTCTCCCGGCGACATTTTTTAGACTGGTGTTGAACAGAGATCGGATTTCTGGCGTTTCATATGATGATAGCAAGATTGACTGCCGAAGATATGGTCCGCTGGAGTGGTTGAGGTGAGGGGAGAATCTCAAAGAGGCAAGAGATTTGTAAATTGCTCACTTTCCATCGAGGTACCAAGACTTGATGCGAGAGAAGTCAGCGTCGTGGGACTCTTTCGGAAGTTTACCCAGGTTTGAGAAAACAAACTGAGAGGGGTCAGTGTCGATATTTTGAGCGATAGAATGGCATAAGGACGTACTTGGACATGTTCCCAATTTTGCATTGTCAATGCATCGAGCTGATCCACTATCAGCATTTCGATAGAAGACAAAAAGTCACCATTCCTGGAAAATCGCATCGCGATGAGTTGGTTAAGCGTGATATGCACTAAAGACTGACTTCTCCTTCTCGATTGACATTCGCAACCCAAGGGGACTCGCAAAGATGATATCACACCCATAAAACTCCGCAAACAGTCTAACGCTCTTTCTCGTCAGCTTTACGCCAATCCTGAAATTGTCGTCTACATTCCCGGAAAATGTCTGAACATGATCCGGTGGGTAAGTTCCTGGCTTAGCAGATGCCAGTTTGTCAACCGTGCCGTCAGGAAGGCCAAACTCCGAGAGGAAACGGGCGTGGTTCTCAATTTGGAATTCCGGCCTTGGGGTATGGGATGTTAATGCGTTCATCCAATTGAGGGCCGAGTTTCGGAAAGGGAGAAGGATGAGGATCGATGGCCGGGTGAAGCCTTGGTCTTGAACATCCTCAGGTGGTGGCATGTTTGCTTTGGCAGCATGGGAGATGCGTTCGTTATTCTTGAGGACACGTCTCCGTTTCCTGCAAGTCAGGGTGAGATGGGTTAGGATATGTCGAATATCGTTCTAAGCACCTGGTAACGTGATTCAAAGCATGCAGAGCAATGGCCTCTCGAATACTATGGTGCACCTCCAGAGGTATGGGGTTAAGATAAACGTCCCTTTGTGACGAGAGGAGATCGAGCAAGTCGTTCTGGATTTCCTGGTGATCTGAGTGCGGAGACTGTCAGCCGAGGACGGATATGGGCACCATGTCAGGTCAGACCTTTTGGCACCTTTTGCTGTCGTTTTATGAAGGGGGTTTTCAGCCTATCGAGAATCTGAACGACGTGAATTCCCTTGTCCAGCCGAAACTTGATGAACTTACCACTGCTCGCGTGCTTTCCCCCTTTTTCGTTGGTTCAGGACATGACCTCGGAAACTCGGAGATCAGTGTCCCTAACTTGCCGTGTTGTTCTTTGGTGGATTTCAAGGCTCGTTGGTCCATGTCTGCCTTGGCTACTTCTGTGAACACGGTGGAGTCTGTCCCGAAGTGTACTTCATAAGGATCTCCGCTAACTTTTCGAGGTAAGGTTCCAAGACAAGTCAGACTTCATTCCACTCACCTTCAGTCTCTGCATCATCCACCGCGTCTGGTAGACCTTGCGCAGGCTCATCATCATCTGCGCTCAACGCCATCCCTTCCTCTAACACTTCCACGACTTTTGGCTTCACGGAGGTTGGAGCATCAAGCGGGGAGACATTGAAAGAGGTTGACTTTCTTTTGTTCAGTTTTTTTGGCGGGGACGAGACTTCGTCAACCCATTTCCGCTTGTGACTTTTTGTGGCAGAAACGTTCAACAAAGTCAGAAGACGAGTCGTGGTGGTGTTCCCGTCGCTCATGTCTGGGGTGGCTATTTCTGACCACCAGAGGTGCTGAGGAAGATGCGAGGGAGACCTTCAGGAAAACTTGGTGTCGCCGGAGTGAGCAGATCAACGCCGTGACAAATTGTGACCTTCAGCATATTCTTGCAGAGAGCACTGTAAGGGCCCTTCCATCAGTGCACTGCTGCGAGTTCATTCGGATTGCTTCTCCAACCGCATTCCATCGTTCTCAAACAGAGCTTCCCTGCGCGATATGAGCAACCTCCACCAACTGGATGCCCTGAACAAACGCATGGCGAACGTGCCTCGAAAGCACCATACATCCAAACTTCTCACTGGTCGTACACCTTCTTTCGCATCCGCTCTTGATCCTCGATTTTCCTTCTCGACATACGTTCCCGCCTGTCATACCTTCGATGGACCTCCTCTCCCCCTGGTAGTCTTCATCCACGGAACTTCTAGACTCATACCGCTAAGCGCGATGACGCAGTTCGCTGAGGATCATAATTGCATCGTCCTCGCACCTCTGTTTCCTTGCGGGATTATAGAACTGACAGGTATTGAGCATCTCGTTCTGGGTGCCGCACGCTCACGACGAACTATAGACATGCACAGTTACAAGTCACTATTGTTCCACGACATTCGGTTTGACCTCGTCCTTCTTTCCATGATAGAGCAAGCGTCCCACATTTGGCGAATCCGAACGGATAAATTCTTGATGCACGGCTTCAGCGGAGGAGGCCAATTCTGTCACCGCTTCCTATACCTTCACCCTTCGCGACTCGCCGGCATCTCGATTGGCGCTCCTGGAGCCGTCACCTTACCTCTCTTGGGCCACACTTGGCCCCGAGGCATCTCAAACATCAAGGAACACTTCGGCGTTGCACAAGAAGCAAGCGAAGTCCCAGACTTTACACTAATGGGCAAGGTTCCCATTCAGTTCATCACCGGTGAAAAGGATACCCAGCCGGTTCCAGTGGCGAAACCTGGAGATGGCACGGAACGTGGAGATGAAGCTAAAGAGTCAAGAATGGACAAGATTATTCTTTTGAAGGACGCGTGGCGAGACCTTGGCGTCACGTCGGTTGTTGATGTGGTGCCAGGGCTTGGGCACGAAGGTACCAAGATACTCCCCTTTGCTCTGCGATTTCTAGGACCGCTTGTCGGTGGTCTTCAGGAGCCCTCGCTGGGTGAATGAATTTCATTTATCCTGTGATATGTTGTTTTCCGGTGCCTCTTTTTGCGGTCGAATCCGCAAACTCTTTTCTCCTTACTGGCGGGTCATAGTATTGCCCCCGTCTGACACTGCGCGATTTTACTGTACGTGCTTAATGCGATAAAAGGATATGTTACAACTATTAGGGCATATATATATCAGAGAATCGACGAGCCCTAACAGTGTGCGAAGGGGTTGGCAGTGAGGAACGGGAAAGCAGACAACGAGAGAGCTCGCAACGACGCACAATGACCCTAAGAAGACGCGGCCCCGTCGAAAGCCGGGACGGCTTGTGCGCAAAATCTACTGGGCCACTTCCTTGAGCTCGGGTGGGACACCTGTGAGCTGCACATTGGTTTTCCGTCTCCTGCCAAGGAAAAGAGAGAGCGAGGAGATATGCTCACCGATCTTGTTCGTTCCGTACGGGACCAAGGAAAAGGACGCCACCAACAAGGCTTCCAGCTGCTTCGACTTGGGGCGGGGGATCCGCATGCGGAGGAGCTGGGTAAAGTAGTCGAAATGGCGCAGCGCAAAGTCGAAGAAGGAGACGGGTAGG